TGATATTGAAATGTTTCTGATAAAGCAACTTAGTGACCTTGTTATTAGTAATCACTTCTTACTAGGTCAGTGTGCTAGCTCTATTACTTTTGAGATATGGTCAATGAATATAATAACTTGGCTTAACTGGGCCACAAGTTTTTATCGGTCCCCCTGTCACCACTCAGGATCACATTTATGTGTGGAGGAGGGCATTTGTAGGATTGGTAGTGAAGGCAACTTACATGTGTGTGGGGGTGTAATTTCTCTGAGAAAATAAGAGTAACAATAACAACAAAAGTTCACTCAAACAGAGCCAGTGTTTTCTCTCACTTGTGCTTTGCCTCTCAACCTGAGGTTCCAGGAGTAAAACAAACAGGTTTCATGGCCTTTAGGGAGGCAGCTCGCTCAAAGCCTTAATCACTGTCAGAATATGGAAGTTATACCTGAATGGCCTCTTACGAACCAAGGGCATCCTGTGGTTTTCCAAGAAGTGCCAGGGAATGCACAAAGCCAAGAGATGTATAGAGCACCATTGTTGTAAAATATGGAGTGATTCTGACCAAGCACTGATAAGACTCCATATTCAGGCTTATACCGTGCTGACAAGAGCAATTAAATGTTGATATTTTTCTATCATTATCTCCAATATTTGAAGGGCTATCACAAAGAAGATGTATTATCCATAGTGCCCAGAAACTCTAAATGAAAACAGCATGTGATGCAATTATTACTATTTTATAGTATTAACATTATGATGTGTGTGTGTGTATATACATATACACATATACACATACACACATCATAATACACACACACACACACACACCAATTCGGTCCTGAGCTTTCTTTTGACAATTGGGCCCGCAATACTTGGTGATGTCATCAATCCATCTTGTTTAGATCTCTTTCATGGAAAATATGAAACAAATTTCTATTTTCAAACAAATTAACAACAAAAACATTTAATGCATTCTCATATATCCTATCCTATCCTATTCTATTCTATTCTATTCTATTCTATTCTATTCTATTCTATTCTATTTCTATCCTCTACTTTTGGAGAAAGCTTGTGGAGAAAGCAGTTGGATTGCTGCTGCAGATGGCCCTGGAGGAAATAGATTATCTGAGCCTGTTTTTTGTTGAGCTTCAGATCCAGGTTCACCACAAAGGTGGCATTAATCCCATTTATTGATGATTTCTGGTAGGACGGGGATAGGGGAATGCAACCTGGCACTACTGATCTCTGAATCTTTTCTCTGCCATTGATCACGGTATCCTTCTGACCTATTCCAAGAGCTAGGAATGGCAAACACACTCTTTCATGTTTCTCTACTCTTCTGCAGGTATGGTTCCAGTTAGTAGTGGTAAGGAAGAGTTTTTTGCCACAGTTGTTAAGTGAATCACTGCAGTTGTTAAGTTATTAACACAGTTTTTAACTGAATCTGGCTTCCCCATTCACTTTGGTTGGCAGAAGGTCACAAAAGATAATCACATGGCCTTGGGACACTGCAACCATCATAAATAAAAGCCAGTTACCTAGCATCTGAATTTTGATCATGTGACTATGGGGATGCTGCAATGGTCGGAAGTGTGAAAAACAGTCATAAGTCCCTTTTTTCAGTGCCGTGTAACGTTGAATGGTCATTAAATGAATGGTTGTAAATTGAGGACTATCTGTACCAAATAAACAATTTCCTGCCTTGTGTGATAATTGGCAACTTCGCACCAGGGAAGAATAAATTCAACATTTGGCGTGTGTGTGTTTGTGTGTGTGTGTAAAGAGACAGCAGGAGAGAGAGATACACAAATGCACCTGCCCTGAATTCTGTGAAGTTATCCTTACCTAGCTTGTTGAGTCCAAAAAGGGGCACCTGTGAAGCCCTTTGCTTCCATCTTCCATCTTCTGCTGCCCAGAAGAAAAGAAAAAGAAGGATCACTCTCCTGATTGGCAGCTGTAGAAGAAAATGGCTCTGGAATTTTACTGCCATGACAACACTGGACGCTGGAGCTTCTGTTTCCATGGTCCTAACAGAGGTGTGTCTTCAGGGCAACCGGCTATGTTCACAAAGACTTGTCAGTGCTGCTGGCAGCTATTCCAGCTCAGTCTTGGACTATGCTTGGAAGAGATGGTTAGATCCTACCCAGCTGGCCTTTCATGGCAACTGTAAAGTAATAGTAAAGAAAGAGTAGCAGAAAGAATAGCATGGATATATTTAGGGAGGACACATAGCACATTTGTTCCTTCTTTGATTTATATCGCTCATGCTAATCCCCAGCATTAGTCCACAACTCTCATAATTCTCAGCTAGTGTGGTTGGCCTTGATGCTAATGAACCATTCCTTACTAAACCTATGATATCAGATTTCTTTATACGCATTGAAGAAATAACACAAGATCATCCATTGGCAGAATCAGTTTAACATATAATGCTTTGTTGTGTTGTTGGAAGCCTGGTATTTTAGTATTCTAAAGCAGAGCGCCCCAACATTTCCAGCTTTGCGGACTGGCGGAGGGGAGGGAAGAGGGGATGGTTCTGTGTGAGTGGCTGGCAAGCGCACGCATGCATGTGCGGCTCCATTTGCACAAGCAGTGTGCACAAGTGCCTGCCACTCACTTAAATAGACTGCATGTGCTCACCCACTGCTCTCACAAGTGAGGATGCACGTGCATGCGCACTGCGCACCAGCCGTTTCTGCAGCCTGCTTGCAAACCAGTGGGCTGTGGCCCACAGGGTGAGGATCCCTGTTCTAAAGCTCATATTATTTAACATTTGAAGGACTTTAGCAAGTTTTTCTTGGGGACACATACAATCCAGAGCATTTTTTAGTTATGCAAGAAGCAGAAAAGCAGTGGCAGAGCTTTCTGGTCCCTACCTCACTTTGAACTGAAAAGAGAACCGAAAGCTAGAGTTATCCAATCTAAGATGCAATAACAACTTTAGATATAAGTTAGCACATTTGCTATACAGGTGGTCCTCAACTTACAATCCTTTGTTTAGTGACCATTCAATAGTACTGAAAAACGTGACTTATGACATTTTTAAAAAAGTTTTATTATTATTTTTTAACAGAGTTCAATAATAATTATTTAACAAAAACGTGTCGTCTGAGTATCTTATTTACTAATACAAATTAAATTCCTAATCCCTAAATCTTTTCTCTAACCATTGATAAAATAGGTCCCAAGATTGAGAATATTCTGTTTCTTCTTTTTCTTTCAACCTTAAAGTAAGTCTGTCCATTTCCGCACAGTCTAATATTTTTTTGATTATTTCTTCTTCTGGTGGTATTTCTTCATTCTTCCAATATTGTGCAAATATAATTCTTGCCACTGTTATTACATGTAGGATCAAATATATTCTTTGCTTATCACGTTTTTCTGGCATTATACCTAGTAAAAAAAATTCAGCTTTATAATCTATGTGTTTCTCTAACATTTTTTCTAACCAAGTGTGGATTATTGTCCAATATCTCCTTGCTTTAACACATGTTCACCACATATGATAATAAGTACCTGGTTTGTGTTTACATTTCCAACATTTCTCTGACATGTTTTTAAACATTTTTGCTAATCTTGTTGGTGGCAAATGCCATCTATAAAACATTTCATATACGTTTTCTTTGTATGAAGCTGACACTGTCAATTTATAGTTTCTTTCCCACAAACTTTCCCACTTTTCTAAGTCTATATTATATCCAAAATTCTTTGCCCTTACTATCATTGTCTCTTTTACTTGTTCATCTTCATCTTCCATTTTTTTAATTAACTTTTCATCAGAAGTTAATAATATCTGATCAAACATAATCTGTTCTTTGTAAAATCCATACTGTTTAATATCTTTATCATATCTGACTTGCATTTGTAAATGTGACCACCATGTTAAATTGATGCCCTGATTTTCCATCTCTTGCCTGAATTTTAGGTTCCCTTCAGAATTTAGAATATCTTTGTATGTCCATATTTTATCGAGACTGACTAGATTTGGATGTACGAATGCTTCCATTATTGAAAGCCATCCTGGAATTTTCAAATAAATTTTACATTTTATTTTTTCCCAAGTTAATAATAATGCATTTCTAATGTAGTGGTTTTGGAAGTATGTATGTATTTTATTTTTTCCGTATCATAGAAAAGCATGCCAACCAAGTTGCAGATCATGTCCCTCCAGATACAGCAATCTTTTATTTTTAAGAGTTATTCATTCTTTTATCCATGTTAACACTGATGCTTGATAATATAAAACCCAATCTGGCAAGCCAAAGCCTGGCTGGCTGGGGCATTCTGGGAGTTGAAGTCCATAAGTCTTAAAGTTGCCAAGTTGGGAGAGCCCTGTTCTGGAACATAGATATAAACAAGTTGGAGACTTCAAGTCACATATGAGTTTCCAGTCCCTTGAATTTTTTTTCTAAATTATGGTACTTAATGGAGCTGAAACACAACAATTTTAATTATGTTATGTTAATGTTATTATTTATACATTAACAGTTGTATTCATTAATTTGATTTTAAATGTAAATGAAATCAAGTTTAGTTTTTGTCTGGCCTCACCCTCTCTGTTTTGAAGTATGCTCCCAGCCAAGCGTCTCAGGCTCCAAACTCAATCATAATACATGGAGATCCTAGATAGATGCTATGCAGAAAGCTCTCTGCTTTGCTTTCCAGCCTACTGATTTTGAAATGCATAATACATTAGTGTTACAGCTTGTACCTTGAACTATTAACCTTTTTATATATAGCTGTAGTTTATTCAAAATGTTTGATTCCCATGCTGTCCTTTACAGTGTGATGGTTTTCAGTCTTGCTGATTATTGATCACTGGAATTGATCTCTACTTTGGGTGATCCACTGAGCAAATGGCGAATATGAAGCAGCAAGTTGACTAAGGAAGAAAAGGCATTTAATCCGGCTCCTCCTTTTGCAGGCATCATGTGAATCAGCAGCTAAACCAGAAATACTGGTAAAGAAAGAGGAGGAGAATTCAGAAAGGTAAACAAATGTGAAAGACGGGAGAGAAAGAAAGGAAATCCTGGGAAAGCTGCTAATTGAAGACTCCTGGACTGGTGAGGGAAAATGGACGAAACCACCGTGGACATTGACACTCTTATTGATGAGATGGACTACATTCCTGGTCACTTTCATCTCGATATGAATTTAAACTTTGAAACTTCTGCACCAATCAGCTTCCAAGGGAGAGACTTGAAGTTGAAACGAGAGAGTCTGCTCTACGAGTTGGAGTTTGAAACTGGCTCACAGCAAAATGCCATTCAAAACCTCATTGGGGTATTTTCCTTCTACCTGGAGGAAGTGGAGCAAGCCAAGGAGATTTTTCTGCATATCACTCAAGAACAGCCCGAGAATTTAAATGCTTGGGCCAACCTGGCCTACATTTATGACAGGCTGAACCAGGAGCAAGAAGAGGCTGAGTGCACTGAGAAGCTCTCCCACTTAATGGGTTTGGATTCAGAAGACAAACTGCAGGGAAATCACCAGGTCAGAGCAGCCCGTTGCCTGGCTGAACAGGGCTATGCTTATGCCTTTGACATCAGGCTAACAAACAAAGAGGAGAAGATGGAGAAACTGACTGTAGGTCTCACTCTCTACAGCAAGGCGCTGGCCTATGGAAAGCAGGTAAGTAAGTTATCATGCATCTTTGTGTCATTTGTATTTAGTGGAAGATTGGACTTCTGTCACATACAGATAGTCCTTGACTTAAATTTAGCGACCGTTCAGAGTTACAACGGCACTGAAAAAAATGAATTACAACCATTTTTCACACTTATAACCATTGCAGCATGATCAAAATTTGGACACTTGGCAATTCTCTCATATTTGTAATGGTTGCAGTGTCCTGGGCTCACTGTTTGTAATCTTCTCGCATGCAAAGTCAATGGGGAAGCCAGATTCACTTAACAACAGTATTAACAACTGCAGTGATTCACTTAGCAACTGTGGCAAGAAAGGTTGTAAAATGGGGCAAAGCTCACTTAACAAATGTCTCACTTAGCAACAGAAACTTTGGGCTCAATTGTGGTTGTAAGTCGAGGACAGCCTGCATACTGAACAAAAAGTAGGCGCCAAACACTGGGAGCTAAGAGAAGGAGGAATTTTGCAGGAGACAAAGTGGATTCTTCAGCATTCTGTGATCCGGATGATGTGGTTCCAGGAGAAAATTCCTAATAGCCTTCCTCGGTGTAATTTCTCCAAATATGTTGGGCTCTGTGAATATGTCCAGACACCATGAATATGGCCATGCTGGAAGAGACCAACACATGTGAAGGTCACCATGTTGGGGAAAAGGCTAGTCTTGTAAGATGACCTTTCACCAGCATCAAGACAATGCACTTATTTATTGCCCTCTTTGGGTAAAAGTGTGAGTTATTAGACCAGGCAGTATATCTACAATTATGCTTACTACACTAAATAAAACATTTGGGAGGCTGAATCAGGCTTTTTCCATTATAAGCTGTACCTTTCCCATTTTTGAGCCAAGACATTGTCCAGAACTGTTGTGATCACCAAGCAACTCATCCTGCACGAGGAAGTGAAAATGGCAGTGCCAATGGATAATAATGTGAAAAGGATTTTTTGGTGGAATCTTAATTTTCTCTGTTCTTCTGTGTCAAGTATAGAGGTATTCTGGTGGCTTAGCATACTATGAGAACCTAGCCATTGTGGCTTATAAAGTAGAGTTTATGGCTGGGTGTGTTCTGCACAGTCTACAATAATTTAATCATGAAGTCATGGTTACATTATGTTGTAGGAAATTGCACAGAACAATTTGTTACCTACTAATGAGTAGAAGTTAGCAATGAAAGGATACCATACTTCAGACGGCTTTTGGTCATGAAGGAGTTAAACAGATTAAATAAATAAGCCCTAGCACTCTGTAACTAATTGCTTCATGGTTGGCTGAAGCATTTTAGAGGCACTTTTCTTATGGTTATAAGAAATATACCCAAATAATCAGGGTAGGAAGGATTTAGGTTAATAGGTTAAAACATTTAAAGTTGAATGTCAAGGACAATTCTGAACAGACCTGGTCCATCCTAAACAGTATTAACTTTCAGTTTTATGATTAGTATCTTCATTATTGTGGTTAATTACACAGCCAGATGTTTAGACTGGATTTGGCATTTTTAATCCACCTGTCAAGTCCTTCAAAAGGACCTGGGATAGGCAGATGTTGAGGTTTAATGGTATATTATTATGTAGTTGGTCACATAGTCAGCCAGATGTTCAGATTCAATGTGGAATTTTTCCCCACCTGTCAAGTCCTTCCCAAGGACCTGGGATAGGCAGCTGTTGTTTGTCATTTTTGTTACTATTATTTCCCAGTTTATAGCTCCCAGCCACTATAGGCCACATCACAAGACAGGACGCTAAACTGAAATTATTTGTTTTAGCACAATATTTACACTAAAGGGATGGTCTATGTTTAATTTTATACCATTGTGCAGGATCCAAAGTTCTTAGTCATTGCAAAAAACAGACAGAATGGAATCAAAATGAATTTCATAAATATATTTTAAAGTGGTTGCCTGATAGACATATAGAGTAAAAATATTGTTCTTTAACCAGGAGCTTTCTGTAATATGAAAACTAATTTTTTGATTTGCTGTATTTGTGATCTTTTGAACTATTACCTATATAAAGAACTGCTAGTGAAGTAAGCCCATGATTTATAATCAATTAGCAATTATTTATTAAAGATTATGCATATGCATAAACTGGCATAGTATCCAGAAAATAATGTTTTCTCAGTGAAGATAGGACATCTGACTGATTTCATTTAATTTGTTAGCTATATACCAGTGGTGGCGAACCTATGGCACGGGTGCCAGAGGCGGCACTCAGAGCCCTCTCTGTGGGCACGCGTGCCGTCGCCCCAGTCCTAGGCCTTCAGCTGGGTTTTATAAAACCTTTTCGCTTTAGGCCTCCGCTACCATGTGCAAAAAAAAAAAAAAGGTTCAATCAGTCAATTTCAATTTCTTGCAGGAAAAAAAATCTTGCAAAGTTGGAATTGATTGATTGAATTTTTTAGTCCCACCCAGTCTGCTGTTACCACTGCAGCCACGCCCAGCCAATGGGCCACACCCACCCAGCACCCGACGGTGCATAAGTGGGTTTTGGGTTACAGTTTGGGCACTCGGTCTCTAAAAGGTTCGCCATCACTGCTATATACAGTGCATTCAGAAAGTATTTAGACCCCCTTCGCCTGATTCTACAGTTGTTGAAATTCATTTTTTTCTCATTAATCTACACTCAGTACCCCATAATGACAAAGTGAAAACAGAATTTTAGAACTGCCTGTAAATTTATTAAAAAGAAAAAAACTGAAATATCACATTACCATAAGTTTTCAGACCCTTCACTCAGTACTTTGTTGAAGCACCTTTGGCAGCAATTACAGCCTGGAGTCTTTCTGTGTATGACGTGACAAGCTTTACACACCTGGATTGGGGGATTTTCTGCCATTCTTCCTTGCAAATCCTCTCAAGCTCAGTCAGATTGGATGGTGACCATCGGTGGACAGCCATTTTCAGGTCCCTTCAGAGATGTTCAATAGGGTTCAAGTCAGGGCTCTGGTTGGGCCACTCTAGGACATTCATAGAGTCATCCCACAGCCATTCCTGTGTTGTCTTGGCTGTGTGCTTAGGATCGTTGTCATGTTGGAAAGTGAACCTTCAGCTCAGTCTGAGGTCCTGAGCACTGTGGAACAGGTTTTCATTGAGGATATCCCTGTATTTTGCTCCATTTAGCTTTCCCTCAACCCTGACCAGTCTCCCAATCCAAGCTGCTGAAAAACACCCCCACAGAATGATGCCGCCGCCACCATGCTTCATTTGTGGGATGATATTGGGCAGGTGATGAGCGGTGCCTGGTTTCCTCCAGACATAACATTTAGAATTGAGGCCAAACAGTTCAATCTTGGTTTTATCACACCAGAGAATCTTGTTGCTCACAGTCTGAGTGAGAGTCCTTCAGGTGTTTTTTTGCAAACTCCAAGGGGGCTTTCATATGTTTTGCACTGAGCAGAGGATTCCATCTAGCCACTCTGGCATAAAGCCCAGATCGGTGAAGGGTTAGAGTGATGGTTGTCTTTCTGGATCTCTGTCCCATCTCACATACAGGATTTCTGGAGCTCAGTCAGAGTGACCATCGGGTTCTTGGTCACCTCTCTTACTAAGGCCCTTCTCCCCCAATTGCTCAGTTTGACCAGGCAACCAGCTCTTGGAAGAGTCCTAGTTGTGCCAAACTTCTTTCATTTGAGAATTATGGAGGCCACTGTGCTCTTAGGAACCTTCAGTGCAGCAGAAATTTTATTGTAGCCTTCCCCAGTGCCTTGCAATAATCCTGTCTCTGAGCTCTGCAGGCAGTTTCTTTGACCTCATCACTTTTGCTCTGTTACAGTATGCATTGTCAGCTGCATACAGTATGCATTGAGGCCTTCTATAGAGAGGTGTGTACCTCTCACATCCAATCAATTTAATTTCCACCGCTCGACTCCAATCAAGATGTAGAAACATGTCAGTAACGATCAAAAGAAATGGGAGGCATCTGAGCTAAATTTCAAGTGTTGCAGAGGGTCTGAACACTTATGCCAATGTGATATTTCATTTTTTCTTTTTAATAAATTTACAGACAGTTCTAAAAGTCTGTTTTCATTTTGTCATTATGGGGTACTGAGTGTAGATTAATGAGAAAAAAAGAATTTCAACAACTGTAGAATCAGGCTGCAGCATAACAAAATTGACAAAAGTGAAGGGGGTTCTGTATACTTTCTGAATGCACTGTATATGCATGAGAATATTCAGGCACAAGAAAGGTCTGGTTTTGAATCCCCACGTATGGTATAATCCAGGGGTAGGCAACCTTGGCTCTTTTATGACTCGTGGACTTCAACTCCCAGAATTCCGAGCCAGCCATAAAAGAGCCAAGGTTGCCTACCCCTGGTATAATCTGTTCAGGTTTTGTTTCTGTTTTTTCTTTATTTCTAAATTATGTTTTGATTTTTATTACAGTATAGCATTTAGTTTCTACCTGTGCTTTTTAAAATATTGCTCCTATAATTCCATTCAATATATATTATAATACTTTTTAATGTCAGTCTCCTCTCTCAGTGGATTTGCAGAACAGGATAAATAATTACTACTCAACCATTTTTATAGAGCTGACAAACTGATTATGCTCTTCGTTTATAAAGCAACAAAGATGATTAGGGGACTGGAGGCTAAAGCATATACTGTAAGGAACGGCTGCTGGAATTGGGTATGTCTAGTTTAATGAAGAGAAGGAAGAGGGGGGACATGATAGCAGTGTTCCAATATCTCAGGGGCTGCCACAAAGAAGAGGGAATCAAGCTATTTTCCAAGGCGCCTGAAGGCAGGACAAGAAGCAACGGATGGAAACTAATCAAGGAGAGAAGCAACCTAGCACTAAGGAGAAACTTCCTGACAGTTAGAACAATTAACCAGTGGAACAACCTGCCTCCAGAAGCAGTGAATGCTCCAACACTGGAAGTTTTTAAGAAGAGACTGGACAGCCATTTGTCCGAAATGGTATAGGGTTTCCTGCCTGAGCAGGGGGTTGGACTAGATGACCTTCAAGGTCCCTCCCAACTTTACTACTACTACTACTACTACTACTATTATTATTATTATTTTATTATCTCAAATGAGGTGGGCTTTATGTTTTGTGTTGCATGGTTTGTGGATTGGAGCAAGAAGAAGGCTGGCAACTACAATCTTTGATTTCATGGAATAATGTCCTATGACTGGTATCCAGGGAATGCAATCCCTCAGTCACCAGTGGCTAATCAGACTCTTTTTTTCCCCTCACCTTCCCACCCTTCCTCTCAATTTCAGATACCTTTAGAGGAGAAAAGGAGCTGGTATTTTGCCATGGCCACTCTGCACATCAGGTGAGACATAGGAAGGAGTCCAGAATGAAAAGTCACCATCGCTTGATTCCTCAAAGAAAGGATATCAAAATAACAGAAGGAGAACATCTTGGGACAAAGTGGCAGAAATTTCTTGTTCCACTGAAGGCTGGAACACAAGTCCTCGACTTACAACAAATTCTTTTAGTGACTGTTCAAAGTTACTAAGAAAGTTACTTGACTGTTTTTCATGCTTAAAACTGTTGCACAGTCCCCAGAGTCATGTGATAAAAATTTGGAGGCTTGACAACTGGCATGTATTTATGACAGTTGCGGTGTCCCTGGTCATGTAATCACATTTTGCAGCCTTCTGACAAGCAAAGGCAATGAGAAAGCCGTATCCGCTTTACAACTGCAAGTGCAGTGATTCGCTTAATATTAACTAAAATATATATGGGTAATTTGAACCCAGCACACTTCCAGTCAATCTCTATATCCAGTTCAGACCAAACACACAACAGGTTTCCATGGCAAGTGATGAGCAATACTGATCTTAAACCAGGGGGTGAAAATAACGATTTGAATGAGGCAAGGTGGTTGTACATTAAAAAAAAAAAAACTTGTCTAAAAGCATCCCATATCTGATTACTTTATACCAACTTATGTCTCTGGAATAATTTGACAACCTCCCGCTATCAAATTTAAAGAATGAATCAAAAGTTAACAGAAGTGGCTAATTCACAATGATGCAACAGGTTTCCTCTGGACCACATCACCCTCTAGGACAGCGGTCTGCACCCTTGACAACTTTAAGACTTGTGGACTTCAGCTCACAGAATTCCACAGCCAGCACAGCTGGCTGAGGAATTCTGGGAGCTGAAGTCCACAAGTCTTAAAGTTGTCAAGGTTGCAGACCCCTGCTCTAGGAGTATCACAGTTAGAAGGGGATGAAAGAACAGAATTCAAAGAAGTATTTCCAACATTTGATTTTTTTAAAATATATATATTAATTCTATCAGATTTTTTTTTAAAAAGTGCATTGCCTGCATGTACACCTCTGTACGTATGAATGATATTAGTTCCTCTTTTTACTTCAGATTAGATGGGGTGTGGATGAACAAAGGTGAGGATGAAAAGAAGAGACTGACAGCTTTCAACAGAACTCTGGTTTTGCTTCAACAAGTACTGAAGTCATCTAATCTACACTACAGAGGTAGGGAAAATGATTCATTAGTCCCCAAAGGCTATAGCAAAGACTGAGCCAGATCAGATCGTTAGGATACCACTGACAGAATGCATGTATTTGCTTGCACACACATATACACACCCAAAAAAGTCTGTTAGCACCGTTTCTGATTAACGGTTCTCATGATAAGGCATAAGCTTTTGTGCTGCATCTCACTTGATTAGATCCATCGAGTGTCTCAATCGATGTAGGTTTTTAAATTGGGATAGTGAAGGAGCAGAGAGGGAAGAGAGGTTGATGGTTGCCATGGACCAATATGGCTCATTTCCTATGACACTCAAAGGTACACACAAATATACGTACACAATTCCATTTTCTTACCAGCTCACTTTCAATCAGTCAATCAGAATAGAGTCTCCCCGGCCCTGCCTCCTCCCACGCCCCTCACCAGCAGCCCCCCCCGGAGGACAGTTGCCCCTGGGTGTGGCCCACACGAAGCAGCGGAGCCAAGGACATGGTAGCTGGGCAGCGGGGACAAGACTCCGTGCTTGCACCCCGTTGCGCGCAGATGGTGCTGCGGGGCACGGGCGGAAGGCATGGCCGCCATGGCGCTGCTGGGCTGCCTGGGTGATCTGTGGCGGGCCGTGGAAGTGGTGGGTGGCCCAGTGGGCAGGACAGAGTAGGGACGGGGTTGGGGGGGCAGTTTTTGGGCACTCTGTCTCTAAAAGGTTCGCCATCACTGCCCTATACCATTTCAGACAAGTGACTCTCCAGTTTCTTTTAAAAACCTCCACTGATGAAGTACCCACAACTTCTGATGGCGGGTTGTTCCACTGGTTAATTGTTCTCACTGTTAGGAAGCTTCTCCTTAATTTGTATGCATTGTCAGAAAGGTTACTTCCCCCAGGTTGATTGCAATCAATTCTTCATACTCATATGCTTTTGTCTCAATAATGTCATGGATGTGAAAGAGCATTCTTTACTCTTCTAGCATTTTTGTTGCTGTACCTCTCACACATGTTAATCGGGGTCTTTTCATTTGGGAAAAAAACAATCCAATTACCTGTTGATTAGAATAATATACCCAGGCATACAAATTAATTTTTTTTTAAATGCAAAGCAATATAAACAGAATGTTGAATGTATAAGTACTGTATGTGGGCATTTACTTATTTCAATTATTTACATAATGTAAGCTACAACAAATGTAAGCTGATCTCTACTTTCCATCAGTTCAGATGTTCAGAAGCAGTGAAGAAAAGAGGTATGCTCTAATGCAGGGGTGTCAAACTCGCAACATCACGTGATATGTCATGACGTATCGTGACTTTTTTTCCATTGCCGGCAATGGGGTGGGTGCGGTTTTGCCATGACACATCCGGCCTGCGGGCTGGCAGTTTGACACCCCTGTTCTATCTTCCAGGATACCTTTTCCATTTCACAGTCTAGCCTATAGGTCTGTGTGGCCCTGATGGTTCCCCATCCAGGTATTAACCAGGACTAAACTGGCTTAGCTAGAATGCATCAGAATTTTCTGATGTGGAAAGCCCTTTCTATACCTATACCATCCCAGGGGCTGTCTCCAATTAATAAGTAAAGATTTAAGTTTAATAATGAGGCAGAAACTTTCCCTTTATTTCTGAATGGAAGGATCTGCTCTGAAGTATTTCTTACTTTTTCTCTAGCTTTGGCTTGGTGCTATCTTGGGATGTTACTAGAAAGGAAATATTCTTTCTTAACTACTCCTCCGGGCATTGATGAGTGTGGTTATGCTGGAACTGATCCCCTGGATTGCTTTGGAAAGGTAGGCTGATATAATTAATCATTACAAAAAGACAAAGAAGGGAATGGTACCCAGATGCCCAACTTTTTAATGACAATATTTCAATAGCAATAGCACTTAGACATATATACTGCTTCACATCCTTCTCTAAGTAGTTTACAGAGTCAGCATATTGCCCCCAACAATCTGGGTCCTCGTTTTACCAAAATCGGAAGGATGGAAGGCTGAGTCAACCTTGAGCCTGTAAGGATCAAACTTCTGGCAGTGGGCAGAGTTAGCCTGCAATACTGCATTCTAACCACTGTGCCACCACGGCTTATAATATATTAGATTTGTTTAATGTTGTTTCTACTGCATAACACATAACAAGCACTGTATCTTCCTTCACCATTTTACTCCCTTTTACAATTGATGGTGGGATTCAAATTTGATTCCTTCCCTCAATACCGGTGAGTGAGGCTTATCCTTCCCTTCTCAATCCTAAATCAAGCACATCCACATCCCTAAACTACACTGCAGGGACAAGGGCAATGCATAGCAAGGGAACTTGCTGATTGATTAGTTGGAAGCAGGTGCAAAGAATCCTGGTTGTGTTGGTAATCTAACCCAGTGGTTCTCAACCTGTGGGTCGGGACCCCATTTGGGGTCGATCGACCATTTCACGAGGGTTGCCAAGCAAGGCTGTCCGCCATTTTTTTTGTCCGCCATTTTTTTCCCTTTTCCGGCGGGTGCCTTACCTCCCTTGAGCTGGGCCAGCTGGTGGTCGGCCTGCTCCGTCTCTGCCGCTTGCCAGCTACGCCTCGGCCGGCACAGGGGGGCAGAACCACGCATGCGCGCTGCTCCCGGGCAGGGAAAGTCCTCGACTTACGACCGGTTGGGTAGTCCTCGACTTACGACCGGTTTAGTCCTCGACTTATGACTGGTTTAGTCCTCGACTTACGACCGGTTTAGTCCTCGACTTATGACCGGTTGGGGTCACGGCATTAAAAAGGTTGAGAACCACTGATCTAACCTGAGCTGGGTACATCCATCTCTATGCTAACTACCTCAGCCTCCCAACAGGCTGCTCTGGATAGTATAAGCTCAGCCATTTCCATGAATGTCTGTATAATGCTGAATAGGAAGTTCTACTTGATCACAATCATGTGATCATGAAGTTTTCTTCAAGGGGTGTAAGAGGAACAATACTTCAAATCTTATTTTAGAATACCAAGTTTTGAGCATTGATGTGGGGACAAGTTCAGTCCACCCAGAAATGTGGGGGGGCAACACATACTACCCTCCCCCACTCCTTTTTTAAATATAGGAATGAGTACTTAGAACAAAAAGATGTGCCCAGAAAAAAATACTTCAGGGCTATAATGGAAAGGATGATTTTATTGGTTTCATCTTCTCCTTTGTATGCAAGCAAGAGAAGCAAAAAGCTTCTTCCAAGCGTCACAGTTACAAAGGAGGAAGAGGAGGGATATTGCTTATCTGCTTCTATTGTACTGTAATGCTAGTTTCACTGATATGAGGAATATTCCTAAAGCTTTAAATATTAACCAAGTCTAAATAATTGCACATGCCATTTTTTTGTGTGGTGGCACAGTGGTTAGAACGCAGTATTGCAGGCTAATTCTACTGACTGCCAGGGGTTCGATTCTCACTCGTTCAAGGTTGATTCAGACTCCCATCCTTCCGAGGTCAGTAAAATGAGGACCCAGATTGTTGGGCGAAACATGCTATAAACTGCTTAGATAGGACTGTAAAGCACTGTGAAGTGGTATATAAGTCTAAGTACTATTGCTATTCCATTGCTTTGCTAAATCTTCAGTTCCTTCTAGGGAACTGGCCAAGTATTTTTTTTCAGCCACAAATTAAAGACGAGGGCATGTCCGAAATGGGATCTTGTATTTTTAAAATGTCTTGGCAGACAGCCTGGCGACTTTACAGTCTTGGACTACAATCCCTCTCACCCCAACCAACTGGCTGATTATTATGGAAGATGGAATCTAATCCAGCATCCAGGTGGGGGTGAGGTGAAAAGTTGTGAAAATTCAACAACTTTCTTGGATGTTAAGTCAAAATGAGCAACCAGGCTTTTATAGTAACAACAAGTATTAATATAGTAGAGAAATCCTTTCTTTTGCTCATTTGCCAGTGGCCAGAGATCTCCACCTGTTAACCTGTGTCCAGATTCTGAATATAATTGATCATAGTTTCCCTGTTCATGACAACTGATGATTAATGGAGAAAAATGTATTTGCTTTTAAGGCAATAGAGGTTGCTAGAGATAATCCACCTGTTCTCAACCGTCTGTCAAAAATCTTCCATTTCCTTGGCAAGCTAGAGATGGCAATGGCCGTTTGCAACATGGCTCTGGATGTATTGCCTGATCCAGGACTTAACTGGCAGGCATATTGTATGCGTGCTAAGGTAAGCAGCTCACCCTTAAAAATAACCCACTAGCAAAACAATTCGGATTGTATAGATGATTGAAGATATCAGTGCAGTCCTACCCAGTGAGAGCATTTCCAAAGGATCCAATGCCTTTTTTTTAAAAAAAAATAATCTTTTATTACACCAGACTAATTGGACACGATTGAACAGAATTTTTTTAAAAAGCAGGTAAAAGGATACATGTTTGACTGTATACACAACATTATATAACTTTGGCATTAAAAGGAGTTATAGCAGACAATTTGACCAACGCATGGAAAGTCTGAAGTTCTCAGAATTCCTCACCTAGAAACCCCTATGTTTTCATCCCAAACTTCCTGCCTTGGTATAGTTGTTTGGTAGTTTGCCACCTCTTATTTTCCAGGGGAATGTTTTCGTTGGCATCTTTTTCCTTAGACCAGTATTTCTCAACCATGGCAAATTTTAGATGTGTGGACTTCAACTCCCAGAATTCCTTATGCTGCTGGGGAATTCTGGGAATTGAAGTCCAATCTTAAGGTTAAGAAGCACTGCCTTAGATAGATCACATCCCTCTGCTCCCTTCTAGGAGTCTCAAAAGCAGAGAAAGGCATATAGAGTCATAATTTCTCTCAGCAGCTCCCCAACGTTTTAGCAGTGACAAAACCAAACCAAGTCAACTGAGCTCTATACATCTATGTTTAGATGCTGATTAAACTGTATTTACGGGATGTGGAACGTGTGAAGATAGGCTTGGCTGAAATGCCAGACCAGAGCAATCTTTTGGGGGCCAAAGTTGATCTTGAAAAAGTCATCAAAGTCCAACCCTGCCTGAAAACTTACCTTGATCTTGGCCAGGTAAGTGAAACCGTCCATGCCGTCCAGATATTTTCACTGAGTTAACTATTTTAGGGAACTTCCAGATGGAGAATACTAAAGTACTCTGGGTACTAAACCGAAGGTTTTGGGTAGCTATTCCATTTTTTTTCTCCTGACAAAAAGAGGCAGAAGGATCGATGGAAAGAGTGGGGAGATGAACAGAGAGAAATTGTAGTTTTCATTTTGTAGTTTTCATTTTGTAGATTGAAGTTTTCCACATCCTGTGGACTTCTTGATTGTTTAGATTTAAAAAATGGTGCTTTTTTAAAATGTATGACCTTGGGTTTCCCCCCCCCCTTTTTTTTTTTAAATTCTAGGTATATTACTACCTGGGAGTAGATGCTATGCAGGAGCTTTTCCTTGTGGATGAAAAGGCCCTCAACAAAGCCCTTGTGCTCTTTGCTAAAGCCATGGAATTAGACCTGGGAAATGTCTTGCCTGAACTCCAGGTACTGAAAGGGAAATGTCTTTGGATTAAAAATGAGACGCTGGAAGCCATGGAGTGCTTCAAGCAGGCCATAGAGCTGGACGATGTGGGTTCCACGCACAGAGAGAGCTTCCGATGCTTAATGGAACTGCTGCTTACTCTCTTTGCTCAGAAGAGGATCACTATGGAGGTGCTAATGAAAGAGGTAGAGGTGTGGGTGAAGAAGGCGGAAGAGAAATATGCAAACCAGCATGTGCAACAGGAACTTCGTCTAGTCTGTCGGCATCACACCAGTGAGGTACTTGAACTTTCCAAAGCTATGTTGGCTCAAGGGAAGACTGAACTGGTGAAGCTGCTTTTTGAGACCATGAAATGTGACTTCAATCGACCCAAGCTGAGTGAACGTTCATTCTCTTTCTGACCTGCTGCTTCAAGTATCTCTTCGTCTGTCTACTACCTTAGAAGCTATGGTGATCTTCAGAAATGGCTGTTCTTTCTCTCTTGTGTGTCTTTTTTTTTTTAAAAAAAAATAATACATTCAAAAATATGGGTTCATTGAATATTGCCCGTATAGAAGTGTTTGTGCATGTTATCTTCATTTGCATTGAAGCAAAATTAGTGTACAAGTTTTTAAATCTCAGCAAATTCTTACAGGAGTCAGACAAGATTTCAAAGAAAAGAGGGGAAGGAACAAAGAAATTATGAAAAAATAAGTGAAATATTTAAGTCAGGTAATCTGTACTTTACACAGTGCTGATACTGTACAAAGCTTCCACCTTAGGACTGATTTTGAACTGCAGATCTTAGCATATGAAAATTGGTTCTTTAGCAATAGCAAAAGCACTTAGACATATACTGCTTCACAGTGCTTTATAGCCCTCTCTAAGCCATTTATAACTTAGATTTACCCCAACAATCTGGGTCCTCATTTTACTGATCTTAGAAGGATGGAAGGGTGTGTCAACCTTGAGCCCATCAGGATCGAACTGCTGGCAGTCAGCAGAATTAGCCTGCAATACTGCATTCTAACCACTGTGCCATGATAGCTCTAGCATTTCTTTAGACAAAAACTTTTGAAGATTCCTGATTTATGCTGCAGTCCAATTTATGCCTCCAGATAGCTAAAGCTCGTTCAAACTGAGCCTGACTTATAATATCCATGTTGTCTTCCTAGCCACGTGATAGAAGTGATTGACTTGTCTTCTTCCAGAGTATTTTTACTTCCCTGTCTACCTTACAGTTCCAATTTTTCCTAGTGGTCCTTCAGTCTAAGTGCTAAGTAGATCCACCCTGTTTATCTCTTTGAGATCTATTTGTAGTAAATTCTGAGTTGAAGCTACTCTAATAGTAATGAATACTATAACAGTTTCCATTATTTAGAAGATTACAGGTTATTAATGTGGAAAAGGAGCTAAGATGCAGAACAGGGATAGAGAAACTGCAGCCCCCACAGATAGAACTACACTACCCAGTAGCCAGTATGTCCATTAATTAGGAGTGCTAAGAGTTCAGTAACATCCGAATGGCCACAACTTCTTACGTGGGTTAAAAGCCAATTAAGAACCCCTCTCTCTCGGTTTGAATGAGGTAGCTATTATTATCCCAAAGAGGGAACGAATATACCATTGTGCAGAAAAGACACATTTTGTACTACCTAGAAAAACAGATGTAAAAAGAAACCTGTATTTGGTTGATAATTTAGGGATTTTGTTGTGCAAGGCTTCTGTTTAGATCTTTAGTATGTGGAATATTGTTTTGCTTCCATTTATGTTCTCTAACAATTGTAATTTTTTTTTAAATGTCATCATTCTCCAATGACTCCTTCCCCAAGAAAATCACACCCAGACAGCTGGAACTTTTCACCGTGTCAGGGAACAGAGAACATAAAACTCCACCATCATGTGCCTTAAATTAGAATGTATTCATTGGAAGAGAATGATGATTGTATACATTTTAATTTTATTCAAATGGCAAACTATCTTGTGCATGTCAACTCAAAAGAAAATCCCAGTGATCTTCGTTCTAGTATCAGAAAATGGCAATTGCAGCATAAATATAAAAATGTCTGGCGCAAAAGATCCCATGGCTAGCACAAATGGTAATAACCACCCTCTCTTGGTCTGACCTGAGGTGAAAAAAATTATCACTCATTACACTTTTAAACTATCCCCATTTATGTTTAATTATATACATAAGCACGGAAAACATCAACATAAGAAATATTTTTCAAATGCAAGCTACAGCTTCTTGAATATGGAAAACACCCTTCCCCATAAATAATGTGTATATCAGCTATTCAGTACAAAAACTATTATTATCATTATTAAGTTTAGATGCCACCCCTCTCCCCAATAAGGCTATTCTCAGCAATTTATGCAGATTAAGCTATGCAGGCACACCAAGATCAAAAGCACATCTTGGGTTATCTCACCTCTATCACCTTCATCTTTGTGTGTGTGTGTCACTCTCCAAATTAAATTAAATATCCAACAGTAATTCATACCGTATAATTTCCAAAAGTCCTATTTAATTCAAAAAGCCATTTTCAGCTGAAATCAAAGAAGTGCTACTATTTGTGTGGGTTTGTGACAAAGAGAATGTGTACTACGTGCATGCACACAGGCTTAATTCTTTCTTTGTCAGTTTTATTTATTATATTACTGCATTTATACTTCATCTTATATCTCATATACTTTTATCTTATGTACATAATAGAATTCCAGCAAATATGGAAGATCTCAAAAACACATTAACTAAGATCCAAACTGCATTACAATATAGGAACATATATGCCTTATACTGTATATCTTCAATCCAGCCTCCCTAAATTTGATGCCTGTCACTTGTTTTAGACTTCAGCTTTCATAGTCTTCCTCTGTGATTCTCTCTAATTCTCTGTCCTCCACCAGCAGCCAGCATCTTGGGACAATTTTTCATGGCCAAGTCAATGTTCTACCTAACCATTTTTGAGCTGGCAGGAAACGATGTCCATGAAATTTGCTCTTGTCATTGGCAATACCTACCCTAATACAAACAGGTTATTAGAAAATTGTGTTATCCTTATTTATGCCACATCAAGGACAATGATGGATGGATTACTCAGCCTTCTTACCCTCTTGTCTGCCCCCATTTTCAAAAGCTCTAGCAGAAAACCTCCACCAATCTCCCTCTTTAATGTGGGGTGGCAAACAGAAGGAGGCAGAGATTCACAGGCAGCTAGGTTGGCTGGTTTGGCCATCTGCCCAAACCGACTTCTATACAAGTCTTTTGTACTGGTGCTTCCACAAAAAAGGCAGAGTCCCTTGACTTTCCTTGGTACTTGACATGAAGGCAATGGGAAAATGATGCTTGCAAAAAAAAATAATAATTGCAAAATGTGAATATTTCAGTCTACTAACCCAGTATTTTGTTTTAAAGTCATTTAGCTGATACTCCAGGAAAAACATTAAAAGCAAAACATCTTATGATGGCGTAAAGGGCAAAGCTGACTTTTCCTGAAATGTTGATTCATCTTATTCAGTGCTTCACTGTCTGGCTCTCCGTGGAATGTCTTGGTTCATTCTTCAGATGTTGCTTGGCAAGAGGGTTATGGGGATAAAGCTGGGTAAAACGAGCCAATGCAAAGATAGGAAAGATGTTGCGGTAGGCTGAGTAATGGAGAGTGCCAGCTTTGTAGAATCCAGTAGCAATATCACCCTAAAAAGAGGTAAGAAAGGAATATCCTGAAAAGCCTGCTTATGCTTTAATGCTTTCACATTAAAGATAAAAACCAAAACAATAGGATGTGATAATTACTCATACAAAGAACAAACCTCTTTCATAAATTGCCCAGAACTTAGTTGGTAAATAAGGTGGAAGAATCAGCTCTCTAACTCTTTAAAAGACTGGAGACAAAGCAGTCTTCCTATTAGACTAGGTAAGATAATCTATGGCAGCAGAGAGCAAGAGACACCAGGGAGGTGTTGGGGGAAAAAAACACCTTTCTTAATCAGTACAGCTGATTTTTTTTTTCACAACAATAGTGCCAACATTTACTTCCCCATGTTTTAGAACTGTAATATGTAACTCGGTCCTCTGAAAAATATTTTGGCATCTGAGAGTAAATATCCAAATTCTGTATGGCGAAACCAGATCTACCTGCCAAATCAAACCAATCCTTGCCTCAGGCTTAGGTGTTGTGCTAAGAATGTGAATGTTTCCATGCTTTAATTTAGATGGATATCTCCTAAGGAAGCTTTTGGGAAATGGCTAGTCCAGTGCAAAGGAGAGAACAGGAAACATTTTGGCAGCTTTTTTCTTATGGTCATATTGGTGTCATTTTCATGCATTACAGCAACAGTGGAGGAAACCAGCATTGGGGAAACATTTTTCTAGCAGCAACTACATCGAAAAGAGAACATGTTAACTATCTCTATCTCCTAATACTTGTATCTGTATTTGGAGGACCTGATTGGATCCCGTCCTGTTCTTGTCAAGGCACTTTTTTTAAGGTGCTTCCAGGTTGAAAGAATTAGCCAGTGACATCACTATTGTCTAGGGGATGCCCGTGGAGGGCTCCTTTCATATCCCTGTCAAGGAGCTGGAGCAAATGATGGAAGCTCACCCAGCCATGTAGCTACACTTGGATCTCTAATGTGGGCTTGGTAACCTCCAACCCAGTGTCCTAACCACATGAGCCACCGTGCTCTACCTGATTGGATTAAAACAGCAGCTATTCACACACCTGAGGCCAGTCTCCAATGGCTCTCTGTTTGTCAATCAAAACTTGGATCCCCCTTTCTAGAACACGAACATCGGGATACCTGCAAAACAAATGGAACAATGGTCATTAGTCAGAGACTCAGTCAGAAAGTCCTATTTGGTTTTCTAGAACGAGAATGATTTGTATTTTTTACTAAGATAAGTTAGTAAGATCAGGATGAAAGTTATTTGTAACTCTTTTCTCCACTACATATTGGAGACCAGAGATTATACAGAATTTCTAATGTGAGGCCAGTAACATTCCAGCACAAGAGAAAATGTGAAAATTTCATGTATTTTTCAGAAATTGGTGAGCAAAGTTAAAACATTCAAAAGGATTATTGCCTAGAGTCAATTTGTGTTAATATATTAGCTTTTCCTCCAGATCAGGGTTTCCTGAAAGAAACATTGTTAGGTCTTTACACTTACCTAACAGCCATCAGCCCCAACAGAGCCCATGCAGTTTGGTGGATCTGGGAAATGGTGTGTTGAATATATTTGCGAAACTTGTAGGATTCAAATTCTTCTCCCCAACCACCATCTTTCATTTGCCTGGAGACCAGGAATGCACAGCCCTTGGTCACCTCATTGCATGCCGCTCTGGAAAATATGACACATAATGGATTAATATTTTTTTTAAAAAAGTGAGAATAGTTGATAATTGCCTTGGACTAGAAGACCTCCAAGGTCCCTTCCAATCCTATGATGCTATGATTCTGTGATTTGGTCTGTTCCATTATGGGACTGGGCTGCATCCAAGTGGATTTCAAGCCACATAACATTTAGGATATGGATGAAAACCAGCAGGGGAAACTACCAATGAAATGTCTTTTTTTTTCTTTATACATAACAAGAAAGAAAGTGGCTGGAAATCAGAAATATATAACACTCAGAAATAGCTTTATCTTTTACATGATTATTTCCTATCTCACTGTTTCATACTTTCAAACTTTTACAACATCCTCTCCAAATTCGGAAACTAAATGAAAGAATGTAATTATAGAATAACATGCTTTTAAAGGTGCTGTTTCTTAAACAGTTCTTCTTCCTCATCATACCAAAGTATTAGACTCTTGTGTGCTTTTTTTTGTTGGTTTATTTATTTTGTACTTGCTGTCTGGTACAGTTATCTATATTAAAGAAAAACATATTTTTATAAAGCTTATAAAAATATGAAATATGGGAAGGGTCATGAGCTATCCCGATTATTTTAGGGAGCAACAAAGCAGAATAAAGTTCTATCGCCTGTCTCTGAAAACCATTCCAAAATAAAAAATTGAGGAGCTGTCAGTCAATGGTGAAAAAAGTAAGGTTCTACATTTAGGCAAGAAAAACCAAATGCACAGATATAGTATAGGTGGGTATGTCTAGTCTAATGAAGAGAAGGACGAGGGGGGACATGATAGCAGTGTTCCAATATCTCAGGGGCTGCCACAAAGAAGAGGGAGTCAAGCTATTCTCCAAAGCGCCTGAGGGCAGGACAAGAAGCAATGGATGGAAACTAAGCAAGGAGAGAAGCAACCTAGAACTAAGGAGAAACTTCCTGACAGTTAGAACAATTAACCAGTGGAACAACCTGCCTCCAGAAGTGGTGAATGCTCCAACACTGGAAGTTTTTAAGAAGAGACTCGACAGCCATTTGTCTGAAATGGTATAGGGTTTCCTGCCTGAGCAGGGGGTTGGACTAGATGACCTCCAAGGTCCCTTCCAACTTTATTATTATTATTATTATTATTATTATTATTATTATTATTATTATTATTATTATTATTATTATTATNATCATCATCATCATCATCATCATCATCATCATTGACCCTAATATTTTGCCAGAAAAGCAATTCACTTACCCATTATGGTAAGAGTATCCCAAACACGCAAATGCTTCCAGTGCAAACCAGGTGCCATATGTGAAACATACACCCCATCTCCTGCAAGGAAGAGAGACCCATGAACCATTGAAAAACAAGTATTGAACTAGATTAAGATCAATGCCTTTTAAACAAAGTGCTGATGGTGTGATGGGTACAACTCCCTCTCTGGAAGCTTTCATACCTTTAAACCCACCAACTCCTACAAAGTTTTCATCCAAAATGGGCCCTGATCCCCTGCTGCAACCCCCTCCACTCGATTCAAGTTGCAGAGCACTATAATTGAACATAATACATTGTGTCTTAATGTAGGATATTTTTAAAGGGTTGTGTCACTTGTGCAAAGCGCTGGGTAAATACAAACTAAAAAAAAAATGCCTTCCTTTTGTGAAAGTAATCTTTTCAAGTTTTATCAGCATGGTGCAGCTAAATTCACTGAGCAGCAATGAGAAACAACTCACCCTACCCAGGATCCATCTGCTTTCTGTGTATTACGACAATATTGCAAACCCTTATGGATAGTATCACTGAAGAGAAAGAAACAAAAGGGTTTTGATTAAGATAGAACTGAAAAACTTCGGGGTGGAATTTTAATCAAGGTGGATCAACAGAAAGAGTCACATTCAGTGACCAAGACTTCAAAACCTGGATACCTGGGACTGGTCTTTAAAGGGGGGGGGGTTGACATTCATTTGTTAATTATTTAAATGAATAGTGGCAGAACTTGTGTAGTGGTGATTTGTGTCATAGCAGGTCAAGCTATCCCCCTTGAAGGCACAGGAACTCGAATACTGTCCATCTCTTTTTAAGCCACTAAAAGTATTGACTTTGAAGGATGTGGAGGGTGAGAGAGCTGGAGTTTATATGAACTTTCAAGTCCTAAATGTTATTATATTTACCCTCTTTTGGAGCATAATCTCTAAAGCAAACTATTTATGATACTTTATCTTGGGTTGCTCAGAGGGAGGATAGAGTAAAAGAAATAGAAAACCTTGTAAATTTATCTGAAACCCTAGAAAATAAACCTAGATAAAGCATGAGTATACCTGAAGATTGTACCAAAATGTAGGGGTGTATTTGAAGATTACAAATGAACATAAAGTAATTGGAAGGTTGTGAAATTTGCTATCTAAACTAGACAGAGCTCCAGGTATGTTCCAGAGTCACCTTGCAAAGTAAACAGCAAACTAATTAATTAAACAAACAAATAAATGAAAGAATAAATAACTATTATAAAGAGAGAAATTGCATTTTAAAACTACGCTCTTAAAGTAACAGTTCCCTCTTTTTCCTTGAACTTACTCCAAAATAAGTAATAGAATGGCACCTTTGATCTTTTCAGTAATGGGATTTCACTTTCGTATTTTATCTATGTTAAATCATTAGTGAACTATCCAATCTCTAAATCTCTTTTCTGATGGGGAAGGTATTTGTATCTTAAATATTTAGGGAGACTTCACAATTACTAACTTTTGGGGCACTCTTGGGCAGTATTAAAGTGTAATCTACTAGTCTTTGAAATGGCAAAAAGGTATAGCAGAACACAATGTTTTGACCTGTTTCCTCATTCCTTTTTACCTCAGTAATTAGAGGTTATATCTTTGCTATTTTAATGAGTGACAAGTTAAGGAAAGTGATTGGTGGATTCCTTGTTTGTCTCACTGAGGAGCACCTGCCAGGAGGGAAAGCAATTCTCCTAATGTCTGTTGGTGTTGTTCAAGTGTAGGCAAGTATTCGGAAGAGCAGTTTTAGTCACTTTTCAAGTTGCCTGGGTGTCAGTCAACACAGGTCTAACACAGGTCTAACGTTTTTTTTCTGAAAGAATGCTATCAAAGCATTGAAAAATAGCCAGGCTAAGACATCAAAGTCTTCAGAACAGTTCCTGGGATAATTATGGGTTGTGAAAATGAACCTTAATAAAATTCACATTGAAATTTGTCAGTGACTGCAGAATGTGAGGGCAGAGAGTTGCAAGATTCACCTAAAAAGTAGTATGGATCAGATTTAGAATTACTAAATTCTAAACTTAACTAAATTACTAAACTCTAAGCAAAGTCTATTTCAATTTACAACAGCGATTTCTTTCTCGGCTTCAGGGAATTTTCTCTGTTTCAGCTACCTGATTTCCTCTCTCCGGTGATCTGGGAATCTCTTCTGGAAAAGTTTCAGTCCTTGCATTACTGATGAGGTACATTCAATATAGGTGTGATCTACCATACAGTCAGCTGGAAAACATAAATAATGTGGGTTTTTTTTAATACAGGCAGCCTATTATTTTTATTAACGTCTCTAGGTTACAATAGTAACACTAATTATTTAAAAAAAATATCCACTGAAAAACAGCAAACCTAGTGATGAAAAGAAAGACAGAACAATAATTATCTTTTCCTCTTAAAACACCACAAACCTGCAGGAAGATAGACCATAGATTTTATGTATTCATTTATTTTGCAAGGAGCTACCAAGTAATATGCCCATGTAAAGGTTCTATTTCAGAAAAGACTCCACTTTTCTAGTTCAAAATCATAATATTTATGCAGGAGATTAATATTCAGAGAGATGTTGTCAGGTGCAATAAATCAGAAAATAAGGCTGTTCAAATAACTACAGATTTATTGTGGGTGCAAAGAAATTCAAGACTGATGATGCATTTAACTCTTCCCTTGGGTTCAGACTGGTCATCTCCTACTAGTATGTTCTGAAACCTGAATCTTTAAACTCTAGTCTACTCACCATATTGTGATCTCACTATAATTTCTGGACCATCTTCAAGGCAAGACTCACATGTGTAAGTAGCTGTAGGAAGCTAGCAAACTCAAACAGAACACTCTGGCAGCAATGTTCCAGTATAACAATTAGACTGCCAATATAACAACTAGATAAGGTACTGTGATTCCTCAGCTCAATTATATTAAATGACATGAACATTTAAGAGCATGCAGGTAGCCCTCATTTAGTAACCACAACTTGGACCAGCAACTCATTAAGCAAAGTGGTCACTGAGTGAAATCACAATTGAACTTATGATCATATTTCAACATTCCTTGGCTTTGCAGACCTGCAATGATCATAAATGTGAGGACTGGTTAGTTTTTATCACAATTGCAATTGTAAATGGTTGCTGCATGTATCAATTATTAAATGATGATTGCCTGTAGTTGATTTTAAATGCTGTTCGAGTCTTTGGTTTAAAGAACCTTTTTGCTCAATGCTAAGAGATTTCCTTACATCATCTCATCTTTAAATCAATTACTATTTTGGACTAGATCAGGGGCCCCCAACCCCCAGTCTGTGGACCAGTACCGGGTCACGGCATGCCAGCAACCAGTCCACACAAACAAGTAAAACCCCATTCGCGGGATACAGGCAACACACAAAAGCACACACCCTCCGGTCCGCAGAAAAACCTCTCTCCACGGAACCGGTCCCTGGTGCACAAAAGATTGGGGACCTCTGGACTAGATAGTCTATTTAGTTCTTCAGACACAGTTCCTTTTTTTTTTTTAGTTGGCTTATGCCTGTTAGTACACTACTGAGTACTGACAATCTCTCAATCCAGAAGGAAACTAGCAGGATTTGCTGAATTCCTGAGCATGTACCCATGCCCTCAAAACTAGCTACATTCCAGTGATGGTCTCCATTCTGAATTTTGCACATAACATCTGATAATTTCTTCTTACCATAGGTCTCTGCACAGTTTATGCTCTCTAGTAACCAGCTTCCACGTCTGGTTTCATAAGAGGAAAAGCCACCATCGGAATTTCTCATGTTCAGTAACTGCATATTTATAGAAATAGATGAGGGGAAAAACAGGTGACATTAGAAGTCATCTTATTAGACTCCTCGCACAAAAATTAGGCACAAATTCATGCCGATCCTATCAATAGACAGCTGATTTGAACAGAAAATACACAGGGATAATAGCAAGTTTTTGGCAGGTCCAGTTGTGTGTACTATAAATCAGATACAATGGTGGATGTTATTCCATTATCAATATCAGGGTATCATTAAAGTTCGCTTTTGAAAGAAGGCACTATCTTCTCCTTTATATTAAGCAACAAAATATCTTGGCCAATCTTTGTACATGTAGATGTCCTAAAGCTCAGGTGTATGTAGACCGCCATTCTTTTTGTTTATACATTGCCTATTTTTCCATTCAATATTTGTAGTTGCATATGGATATTTGCTGTGGCAGAAAGCAGAGGGCAGACCAGCACATAATCACATAGTTCTAACTATTAAATCATTTGGCCTTCCCTTTATTTTTAAAAAATGTCCTTTCATTTTATTAAGACTGACACCCATTATTCCATGCCAATCAGTTTTATAAACACCTGAAAAAACAAAGCCAGTATTTATACTGAACCTCTTGTTCCACTAAAGATCTGTCTCAATTGAAATGAATGCTATGTCCAATAGAAAAATAAGCTATGATATTCAGAAAACAATTCACACAAATATTGCATTCATGGCTATCAAATTTTATTTTTCACAGCACTTCTAATCTTAATAGTATGCCACAAGCACCAATTTAGTTCTGCTTTCCCTGCTACTTTTCCTCTATCCTCTATATTATGTATTCTTGACCATTATTTCAATTGCCTTGCTTCAGGCAGAAAAGAACGATATAGCATAATATATCCTAATCATAGCCTCATTTTATCTCAAAACCATGTCAGATAAATGAAGATAAGCAGTAGATGTTGAATTTCTGTTCTCCTGAAATAGTATTGGATTAATTGTTCTCTTGTTATTTACTAATGCCAATGGAGTTCAGAATAGAATCTGCTTCATTTTTATAAAGCATTATTTAATCACTAGTTTATTAAAATTTATCTTCACTATATAAATTAGCATATTGAGGATATAAGCAATTGAATGAGATCAGAATCAGACTAAACTATTATTGTCAGTACTTTTTATCATTACATATTCAATTTGTCTTCTTCTGGGAGATTAGAACTTTTTCAGACTGACTGTAGCTTTGATCCTTTAACTTTGAGACAACTGAACCTGTTGGATTTGGTTTATTTTCCCAGTTTTCCAAACCTCTATGTTTATATTTTTACACACTTTTTCACCTCTATATCCATTTTTGTGCATGCTCTTTCAAAAGGCTGCATTTTTTTCCCAAGCAATTTTCTCTATAGACTCTTTGAATCCAATTTTATATGTGGTACATTTTTAAGGCTTTGAGCCTGCTTTGCAAAATTTAGCAAACATGGAAAAAGCATTTTACAAATTGTGTACAAATTTAGGAAAATGTGTGGGGATTGGAATTGGTTAAGGACCAAACTTTTTTCCCCCATCCCTTCTTGGACAAAAAAAACCTCCTCAGACTTTAAAGTTATTATCAAAGGAGAAAATTGCCACCAATTCTGTTGGAATGAGATTCTACAAAATCAACACACCCCTAAGAACCGCCAACCAGCCCTCAGAAACCTCATCAACCCTAATCCCCATGTTCTCTCCTTGGTGTTCTCTGGACTCACCGTATTGACAGCATCAAAGAGACGCTGTGGAGCTATGTGATCGTCTATAAAAGGACATTGTTCTTCAAGTAACATCAATGCCTTCACTGCTTCAGCAGTGCAGTCGCTGACCATCCAATCATTGTCCCGATTGCTGAAGGGGAATCCTCCCTGGTGATTTTAAAAAAGGCATTAAGAAGACTGTTTCTTTTTAGATAGCTTGCCCCATAAAAGAAAAGGATGTATATTTCAGATCTAGACTCAGTTATGGAACATGATGCATTGGTGCAGGTATCTTTGATCCCCTTCAATTAGTATGGGGTTTAGGTGGCATTCTATTTTATTAAATTTATAATCATTTAATAAAATCCAATTATTCTTAATTTAGGCATCAGGGAGCATTATTTTAATGTTTTTGAACCTTTTAATATGCTATATGCTTTACTGTATAGTTGTTTCTTAAACTCTCTCAGAATGCAGCTTAAAGGAAACCAATAAAAGCAAGCAAAACATTGGAACGTGGTTTTGCTTCTTCCTCAAGAATATTGATAAAGTTGGTAAAAATCACCAAAGAAATTAATTTTTCCCTTTCCGCTAGCATTAATAAAGAAAGGTTGTTAGGAAGAGCATTTCTGGACCATAAATAATATCCATTTAAGGGACAATGTGAAAAGTTACTAAGTGTCAAATATTTCTTTTTCTCTTTTGTATAATTTTTATTAATTGGAAATTAACTTCTGGAGCTGCCCTTTCTAACGGTTATGTCTTACACAAGATCAGATTTTGAAAGTACCTTGTTCATTTGACGATAGTATCTCTGGTAGTTGGGTGGATTATCTACAATCTAAAGAAGACATTAATAGCATTTTAATCCAAGACAATTTCTAAAGACAACAAACATGTTTCTTTTGTCCATATATCATTTTTGTTCATATGTCATCATGTACAAGTAAACAAGTGAAGCCTGTTTACTCAGTGCCAATCCCCAATCCTACCCACAGGTTAGTGATGCGTATTGCGTTAAGGACTACTTTTTTCTGCATTCAAGTCAGTCTTGATTCTCATTGAGTCAAGTTCTTGTGGTTTCCTTGGAAACATTTTTGGAAATGGTTTGCTACTGACTTCTTCCTAATTTGAGTCTGACTAGACCCAAGTCACCTATCTGGTTTCATGCCTAAGGCAGACTTGGGTCTAGTCAGTCTCAAATTAGGAATGAGTCAGTGGCAAACCACAGGTGCCTTAACTATAATACCACATTGACTTTCTAAGAGTTGCATATATAGCATATATAAATTTGCTTTGGTGATGTTCAAGTTAGAGTTTCTGAATTGTACGGAAAGGATCTCTGGGTATAGAAATGTGTAGGTTCAATCAAGGAGAAGATGTTATGGATGGCACAAATACTGTATTTCCAATAGTACAGTTTTAATGCACCTAACACTACTGTAAATTATTATCAGAAGCTATCAAGATAACCCAAAGGAGCAATTGGCCATTCAGTAAACAGTTTTAAAACTGGATCTGGGATTAGCAGATGTCTTACTTCAAGACAGCCTCCATGTTTGACATGCTTTTTAAACAACTGCAATTACTAGACCCTACCCTTGTGGAATCAAATTGATGGCACTCCTTTAAAATCAATATTAATGTCTAATATACGTTATTCCAACCCAGCTTCTTACCTGAGAACATTTCAAAAATGAATGGGCTTTTTTCAAACAAGTATTGTACTCAGGGTCATTTTGGATACCAGCCTAGAAAATGAAAAAAAAAAGATTATAAAATAGATTTGATTTGATTTTGATTTTGATTTTATTAAATTTATACCCCGCCCTTCTCCCGGAGGACTCAGGGCGGCTTACAGCCAGTTTAAAACAATGATATAATACAATACAAAATTTAAAAAGATTAAAAATAACTATTTAAATTTGGCCGCTTCTACTAAAAATTTAATTTAAAACCCCTTTAAAATACGCCTAGGCCAGTCCTGCCTGCTGAAATAACCAGGTCTTAAGGGCGCGGCGGAAGGAGGGGAGATCCGGGATCACCCGGATCTCTGGGGGCAGCTCGTTCCAGAGGGTGGGTGCTCCGACAGAGAAGGCTCTCCCCCTGGGGGTCGCCAGCCGACACTGTCTGGCTGACGGCACCCTGAGGAGGCCCTCTCTGTGGGAGCG